ACTGTCGAGGTCAGGTCAGAGCTCCGGATCTCCCCACGGAAGAGAGTTGCGACGACATTCCAAGAAAAACCTGCATCTTCTCCGCAATGGCCTCGACCTCTCGGAGCCTGGCTTCAACGTCATTATTATAGATCTCTGGGATTGGCACCACATCACACGCAAAAATAAGCGCCAGACAACATTTCTAAGAGAGACTAGAAGGGAGCCAAGCACCTAGGTATCACGAATTCACGATGAGCCGCGGCAACCATATCTTCGCAATGCTTGTGCGCCTCGCTCAGCTACGTCAACACATCGTCATTTACCTTTCGGAGGCATGACGCCCCCTCCGCGTGCCCCTTGCACAAAGTAGCCTGGTGCCCAAGGTCGGTCTTAAGAGTTCCGAGCTCATGGTGGAGCAGCCCTTGCTACTCTTTGCTTTTTTGGAGCTCGCCATGGAGGACGTTGCACTCCTCCCGCTCCTTCTGCATGGAGTCCTCATTCGGAACCAGGACCATTACGCTTACCAACTTGGTCAGCCTCAGGGAGTTTCCTCCGGCCGCTCGGCAGAGAATATTTTAATCTTTAGAGGCACATGAGCATGCCCCAAAAACTTGGCAGAGGAAGACTAGGGCCAGAGCACCGAGTCATCATCTACCTAAACCGAAGGGAAGATAATGGCAAGTATGCGAGTCTTCCAACCCCGCAGGAGACGACGAGCGACAGAAGCCCATATCCCAGTTATTAGCAGCAAGTTCTGAGATGGAAGTGCCCGGCGAGGAACAACAAAAAAAGGAAGGAACGACTTTATAGAGGGGGTCATTGCCAACCCACCAGTGAGTGGACTTTTCATTATTAACCACAAATTTAACCTGTGCTGAGTTCATCACGCACTTTGACCAACTGAAGCCAGCCTGAGAGCCACCAAAGGCTCGAGGAGGGGAAATACTTGCCTTTGAGAAGGTAAAACTAGAGGGTGCTAGAGCCTATGGTCAGAATACACCACCACCATTTCATAATTAAACATTTGTTCATAATAGCAGTGTTTAAAATACCAAGCCCCCCAAGGCTTTTTGGTCTACACATTAGTTTCCATTTAACCAGACATTATTTACTTTTGTTGTCAGCCGAATTCCAGTAGAACCCACTTCCGTGCTTATCAAAACCATCTTGGGAGCCGGCAGGGAGGTGATAAAACCCCATTACAATTACAAACATACGAAAAGCGAAGACGAGCAGGCGTTGGTGAGGCACACCTTACCCGCAGAACAGTAATACCGACCCCTCCACGGGAAGACTCTATTAGCAACTTTTTTTCTGAAAGAAATTAGCAACTTTAAGAAAGGAGAAGGAAAAATCCTTAGAAAAGAGGGTGAAAGGGGAAATAGGAACACCAAGGTACTTAAAGGGGAAAGAAACCAGTTGGCAATTAAGCACAATTGTCACACCCAACGCATCGGCAAAGGAGCAGCCAAGAACAAACACTGCACTTTTCGAATGTCGCATCGGCTGAGGAGCAGCCAAGAACAGGCACCTCACTTTTGGAATGTGTGAGCACATACTCCCAACAAAACAAGAAAAAAATAGAATATCTCTACATTATTCACGATTCTTAATTTTAAGCATACAAGATTGATGACCTTTAAAGCGGTTCTGAGAATTGTCTGTTCATAAAAATTTGGCAAAACAAAAACTATTCATAAAAAAGAACTCTGAACCAAATATATAAACTCTACTTATGCAAATCTAAAGCTAACCCAGCATTAGCAATTCACATATGAGATAGTATCAGATATATCAGGCCGAAAAGAATTCTATGTTTGCAACAGCAAGTAAATTTACTTCCGTTTAAACTTGTGTCATCCCTTACACCAACAAAATCTCATGAAATAAAAGTCACGACAAGGGATTGATACTCGTGTTGGGATGTCTTCTACATGTAGCACCGTCGATTAATATACACAAAGGTTTGTTCTCAACTAGGTAACAAAGTGTTTCATCCTGGCCCCATTAGCACGTCAAAATGGAAATCTTCACTTCCAGACTCAAAAACCATCCTTGCTGATCCAGTTGCATTACATACAGCAAGTTAGTTATCGGCACCAAGATTTGCAGCTACTTTTGCTTGGGGTGTGGCAGTGGATCCTTGTCATCTGACAGGACGCCGCCCATGTCACTGATGGATGGCATCTTACGAGACAGATCATCGAGGTCTTCTGGCAAAACTGCGGGCTGCGACTGAGCAATCATTGCCCCCCAATTGCCTGGGATTCTCGGAAGAAGCATCGTCTTCATCTACAGTTTGAAAAGCACGCATGCATCAGTGTCCATCATGTTTATCAGACAGAATAAAGTTAAGAATCGTATATTTATGATTCAACTTTCGTCTCACATTTTTAGCTAGTTTTGAAAATACTTCCATGTATTCTTCAGCGACCTTCAAGCGGGCAGCCTATACAAATTAGATGCAACAATTTATGTTTCGTTAGGCGAGAGGAAAAGTGACTGCCAAAATCCCGCCTCATCAAGATTTTACAAGAAAAATGTGATACCTCTGTGCTGCCTTCAGTTTTAAATGACTCTGGATCCATTACTATCCCTCTAAGTGTCGCTTCAAACCTGGCAAGAATCGCTTCACCTTCACCTGATGTCCACATTGAAAAACAACAAGCATAAGCCCAACTGCCCAAGATGCAACACTTTCAGATTTACAAGACAAGAGGGGGTACAATCACAATATATTCAAGCAAGTAATGCTAGAAACAAAAAGATATTCAGTTTGTGAACTGGGTCACTGTAATCCAAACAGTTCTTCATGTAATACTATGAACAGTAGAACTGAATATTTCTGCTAAAATGCAGGGGTGACAATACTTGATGTTTCCTGAAATTCATAACCATAAGATGTATGTATCTAAAACTTGTGTGTTGAGTGAGCGATCAGCGAGACATAATTTAAGTTCCCTTATGTATAACTGCTTCAGATTCAATCTCCTCAAATGAGGAAAAATACATCCAAAACAGAGAGATATTCAGAACAATACATGATGCATTATTATTATTATTATTATTATTATTATCTTCGAGAAAACGCAAAGAGACTTCTGCGTTTCTTTTCATTGAAAAGGCAGAATTCAAATTACAATCCTCCTAAGATGTACAGGGAGTGAAAAATGCAGAAAAATTAATGTACATCCCAGGTCTGGGGCAGAGTGTCGCAAAGCCTGGAAGCGCCAGCTCTAGCCCAAAGCGTCGCCTCGTCCTTTAGCAACAAGGTTGCTGACTGAAGGCTGGGCGCCCTCTAAGACATAGTCGTTACGGAGTTTCCAGATCATCCATGGGGTGAGCAAGGCAATGGAGGCGAGGCCTTTGAGCATGGGTTTCAGGGTGCGCTGTTTAGAAGCGCACCACCAGTTCAGAAGGGAAGCATCATGGTTCCGCGGCATGCAAGCCATGCGGAGCCAGGCGAGTATCTCGTGCCAAACCTGTCTGTAAAACAGGCAACAGAGCAGTAGGTGGTACATCTCTCGGGGCTCTAGCAGCAGAGGAGGCACGAGGTGTGGGGCTGGAGGCCGCGGCGCGCAAGGAGGTCGGTGGTCATCCAACACCGATCCTGATCAGCAAGCCAGTGGAAGAAGCGCACATGAGGGGACGCCCAGAACTTCCAGGAGCTGTTGTGGGTCGAACCCTGGAAGGTGACCTGATAGCAGGATTTCACAGAGTAAAATCCGCTCGAAGTCCACTTCCACAGGAGGCGATCAGGTTTCATGGTCCGGGTGGTGTGCCCGACAGCATGTTTACAAGTGAAAGTCATAGTTCTGTCACCATAATAAAAAGATAATGCTACATGTATGGTTAGACATTGACATTAACTAATGTTAGAATACTGTATGTATACCATAAGGCAGAAGAACATGATTTCCTCATACTCCCTCCGTCCAAAAATTCTTGTCTTAGATTAGACAAATATAAGACAAGAATTTTGGGACGGAGGGAGTATTATGCATGTAGCAGTACAAGAAGTGTAGTATTTTCACAAGCTGAGCAGGGCAGCAGCAAGAAATTTGGCAATGTTCAGAGCAAGATGATAAAACAGAGCCAAAGAGATGTCACGTACCCTTTGCTTTCTTCACCCTTTCCATCATAGATTCTGCTTCAAGCTGCATCTCCATGGCTTTCTTAGCTCCCTCTGTTGGAGTAATGCCTAAAAGTGGACAGTTTGTAGTTTATTAGTAATGGAATAGAGATGCCGTATTACGACATTTGACACCCCATTCACACGATGAAAAGGAAAAACCATACGTATGTTGTATTTGAGGCATTTGACACCCCACTCGCATGATGCGTAATTGATTGACTTCTGCAGATAGAGAAACAAGACAAAACAATTTGTTAGATGAGTTGTAGGACCATGACATTTACGAGAGAGAGAGGTGTGATAGTAGTAGGTACCATGATGTTGTGGTTGAGCGTGTCTCTTTCCTTAAAAGTCTTGTCAAGGGTAATCTTGCAAATTTCACTGCCTGCAACAAACTCCGCGAGATGGGTGACTGCATAGATGGGGTTCTCTATGGCGTAGGAAGCAAGGAAGGGATCGGCAATCTGCACAAGCCAATTTCAATCGATTCAGTTTGTAAGCTAAGCAAGCTTCCTAGGGTTTAGGGGTTAGAGATGACCTTGACATGGAGCACTCCTCCGATCTGGATCAAGGTGCCATCCTTTGTGATGGCAGGGTTGTCCGGGATTTGGATGGCCTCCTCCTCGAGCGAGTGGACGTAGGCGATGCGGTCGATGCCGGGCACGAGGAAGTGAATCCCCGAGGAGAGAGACTTGTGGTACATGCCTAAGCGCTCCACCACGAACACCTTCCTCTCCGGCACGATGCTCACGCCCAGGTTCACAGGGGTCGACAGCGGGCCGACCGCCGCGGTGGCTCCCCTGTACCAGCGGCAGCTGGACCCTAGGCCCTGCAGCTGCGGCGGGTCCGGGCGGCTGGAGCGGAGGAGGCAGAAGGCGGAGGAGCGGCGCGCGTGAAGGCGCATCATCCGGGTCGCCGTTGACATCGCCATCGTAATAGGGTTTATCTGTCTCTTCTCTTTTCTCCTATCTTTTCTCTCCCTCTCTCTATTTATCTAAGCCTCGATCGGTTTCCAGGCACGATACTATCACGCTCCTTTTCGGGGCTCCGGCCGGAAAAAATGAATGGAGTGATCGAGATGGGCTAGGCCCAAAGTGTTGATTGCTAGGGATAGTAAAACGTGCGTCGCACGGCCGCAGACCACACGCGGATCGTTTCGTCGCTCTTGCCGCTCGCAAACATTGCGCGCTTGCGATTCTTGTCTCCGCCGTGTGCCATAATGCATTCGTTTCTGGCTTGCCGCCTTTGCTGGCAACTCGGCCTCGTCCAGGTGGTTCCTCATCGACCCAAGTCCTACCTCCGGGACCGATTCTTCGACGCTGTCGCACAGCTTGGAGGCCAAACAGTGAGGAGATCGATCCATCCTTTTGTCTCAGTCTATATGTTGATAATTTGTTCAGTTCTTAGTTTTCTAGTAATTTTGTTTCATGGCAAATCCAACTCTGAATACACTAGTAAAAAACAGGGCTTTCGACCATTCTTAATGTACACGTTAGTCCCGGTTACATTACGAGTTCGAGCGGCTAGAGCGTCGGAAAGGCATTAGTCCCGGTTCAAATGGGACCTTTAGTCCTGGATCGAGACACGAACCGGGACTAAAGGGTGCGATGCCCTTTAGTCCCGGTTTGAGACACGAACCGAGACTAAAAGGTGCGATGCTCTTTAGTCCCGGTTCGTATCTCAAACCGGGACTAAATATTAGACCTTTAGTCCCGGTTTGACACACGAATTGGGACTAAAGGGTGCGATGCCCTTTAGTCCCGGTTCGTGTCTCAAAGGTGGGACTAAAGGGTGCGATGCCCTTTAGTCCCGGTTCGTATCTCAAACCGGAACTAAAGGTATAGGACTAAAGACTAGACCTTTAGTCCCGGTTTGAGACACGAGACTAAAGGGTGTGATGCCCTTTAGTCCCGGTTCGTTATTTAGACACCCTTTAGTCTCGGTTCGTGTCTCAAACCGGGAGTAAAGGGGTTCAAACTCTACGCCCCCCCTCCCCGTGTATCGCCATTTTAGTTTTGAAAAAAATAAAAGAAAATGATAAAAACTTCAAAAATTAAAATCCTTCGAGATGTAGTTATGTTACTAGATCTACTAGTTAGGAAAATTAAAAAACATAAATTTGGACACGTTTTGCAAAAACATGTGATGAAAAAGTAAAACGCCTATATCTTTTGCATAGAATGTCGGAAAAAACGTATAATATATCAAAATGTTCAGCGCAAAATTCGCATCCGATTTTGACCGCCATAGGCCGTATTGCAATTTTTTATAATCCTCAAATTCTAAAAGGAAAAAAAGTTATGCTCAAATTTCAGTTTTTTTGAATTTTGGTCAAACTGTGGTCAAACTACTTATTCAAGAAATATTAGTGTTAGTAAATAATTATTCAAGGATATTAGTGTTACTAAATAATTATTTCAGTTTTTTTGAATTTTGGTCAAATCTTGTCAAACTGTGGTCAAACTATGATCAAACTACTTATTCAAGAAATGTTAGTGTTGCTAAATAATTATTCAAGAATATAAGTTTTACTAAATAATTATTTCAGTTTTTTTGAATTTTGGTCAAATCTGGTCAAACTGTGGTCAAACTATGGTCAAATTGTGGTCAAACTATGGTCAAACTATGATCAAACTACTTAATCAAGAAATACTAGTGTTACTAAATAATTATTGGTTTTAGGAATAATAGTTTCAAACTCAAACGGTGTAACATGTGACCTCATGCTCAACTTCAACTCGTAAGGGTTAATATGATTGACATTTTACTATTGTTAGGAAAACAACAAGTGCAGACTTGGAAACAAGGGGGAATGGCACTCGAAAGTTAAGTGTGCTCAGACTAGAGCAGTGAGAGGATGGGTGACCAGCCGGGAAGTTAGACAATTTGAAATGATGAGGGGTGATTAGAGATTAGAGATTAAATTGAGCAGTGATGAGGGATGATTAGAGATTAAACACAAATAATTTAGAAATTTGAAAATCGAAAAAAAAATTCAAAAAAAATCCTTTAGTCCCGTTTGGTGTTACCAACCAGGACTAAAGGTCGAGCTCCAGACAGCAGCCACGTGGAGGGCCTTTAGTCCCGGTTCGTAACACAACCGGGACTAAAGAGGGGGGGGGGGCTTTAGAACCGGCACTAAAGGCCCGTTTTCTACTAGTGATACTATTACAAGTATTTATAGGAGTCAAGGGTGAAGGGCCTAACGATCTACTTTCTCAAGAGCTTCGGGCGTGTATGGATACGTACACTTAGGTTTTCGTTTCTCTTTCTCTCTTATCATATTAAATTCATGCAGGAAAGCAACACCATTATTTTGGTGATCACTCGGTAAAATTATAATATTTAGTAGGAGTACTTGTTAAAACGACGTGCATATCCATGCTTCTGTTTTTACATCATCTTAGTTTAAATTGTTTGGATGAGATTGTCATAATTTATTTTTTTGAGAAACATACCTATCTCTTCTCTGCTACCTAAAAGAAACAGAGCGTTCCGTTTCCCCTCTTACGTCGCCCGCTCTTCGTCCAACCTCTCGTACGCTCCCCTGTAGCGATTTTCTTTCCCCCCTCCACCTGTTTTCTCCCTGCCGGTTCCCAGTTCTATCCACATCACGTAAGGTAACCAGACGCAATCAATTCTTCATGATGGTCATCAAACTCTTTCCTTTTTTCAATCAAATGGTGATCAATCTCTCCTTCCTTATTTCAGTGAAACGGTCATCAATTTCCTTCCTTCTTTCAATCAATTTTCTCCCTTGTCACGTAGATTGCAGCGCATGGATGGAAAATACGAGAGACGAGGGAGGGCCATTATAGCATACATAAATTTATTGCGTGATTTGCGTTACCAAAGAAGAGATTGATTACCACATGCAAATTGATTGTGTTACCAAAGATTGGGTTAGTCCGGCCAGGTAAAAATTATTTCTTTTTATGGAAAACCAAGAGGGGAGAAAATTGGTGGAAGGGTGGAATATATCGTGAGGGGAGGGATGGACGAAGTGGTGCGACATAATACGGGATCTTACCACAGACGCATGTCGGTCCTGTCGTGGAGGCGGACAATGAGCGACGTCTCGGGAACGTCATGCTCGAGCGTGCCAAGAACATCCTAGAAGCAAACCACGCGTAAAGGGGAGTGCGGACAAAGGCCTCAAGGAGGCGCCCGGCCCCGCGCGTAAAGGGAGTGCGGATGAAGGCCTCAAGGAGGCGGCCGGCGTTGGCGCTAGAGCAGATCGTCGTGGCTCTTCCACAGATCGAGGAGGTTGCAGACTGCATCAAGTACGTCGACGTGCACTAGGCTGTCATTACGAAGAATTCAGTCGGATCCTGTTGAGTTTGGTGCGTGCTTCCTTTAGAGTGTGAATTATCTTTGTTCCTTTTTTTGTGGTTGGTGCTTCGCATGGAGGAACTACTAACTCTTGTGGATCAAATTGTGAATGGCCGGTGCCTCTTCCACCTAGAGGTCTCCCTTGGCTGGTAGCCTGAGGTCGTGACGCGGCGAAAGCTTTGTGATGTTTACCAGGATCTCATGCGGACACAACCAAGGAAATCGTGCAGCTCCTGCATGCAGTAAAAATCTTCTCCCCAACTCTCCTCCCGATCTCCCTCCTAACGCTGGGGCACTACGGAACGTGTCGTCCATTGCACCGCGATCAATAGAAAATGGATCACTATGCTTCATATTTTCTGCAGCAGGGAATGTGCCATGACTCTTGCACCACAACTAGCGCATAAGTTCAGTGAAGAATCTCATGTTGTTTGATGCAATTGTATGGAACTCCTCCGAGATGGCAATCAACAGGAAACAAGGGTTCACCTCCGGCAACAAGATAAGTTTTTTTGTGTTTTTAATTGAAAAACATATGCATGTATGATTGATGCGACAGAGAAATTTCACTCTTCCGTGCATGTAGCATGGTTAAATCCAAGACTTGGACATTTCTTTACAAATTCTCATTCTAATTAGTGCAAGCATTTGAAGAAGCTAAGCATGATCTCTACATAATTATGTTTATGAAATATGGAGAGAGGGATAACCTTTGCATCATCGGTAGCGAGCCC